TTATAAAATGGTGTGGACTAATCCTACGCCAAATTAGGATACTAGTACTCAGTTTTTACAGTCAGAAATCTTATTTTACGTTTGTTAGTTTTATGTTCACGAGAGTAAAAGAGCAAAATCTGACAAACACAGTTCGTATAGTCTTCATTTATTTGGTTGATTGTTGATATGTTCTTCAAATGGCTGAAAAGACAACGAATATTTTCAGTTTACAACATCGTTTTCAGTTATGTTTTTTTCTAAATAACTTATTATTGTCAGTTTTATAAAATCAAAACCTCGCGTTTACCCAAATCAACATAAACTTAAGACTGGTAGAGCCTCTCTTGAGTAAATACGTGATCAATTCAAAGGGAAATCAAGGGTATGTAATGAGGCATAAAGATGGCAGCCAAAATTAATATGTTGATTCAATCTAAGCATTTTTGTATCGTGGGGTGGTGTTCTGCGAAATGTGCCACTTGCGACATTCTGGGGGTAAAACTGGTTTACATCTTGAATGAAGACTGTTATTCGTCTCATACCATGTCGGTGTCCAGAGTGGCATCCCGCAATTGACTCTCGAGCTGAACGTATAGATTGAAATGCATTGTGTATATTGCGCTCATACGCTCAATCTGTTGAACTCGACTAAGTAATAATTGCAATGTTGGCAGAGAAAGCAAACTAATACTTTGACCTTTCAGTCGGGTTATCGACAGTTCATTTCTGGGAAAATAATTGTTATCGTTGTACATTTCATAGACAATCGTCAGTAAATGCCTCACTAATATAGGAAGTAATCACACTGATCTCATTACCAAATACATTAGCTACAAGCATATGTAGTCTTGAAACTAATTAAATATGGAAGTACGATAAAATGGTAAGAATCGACTAAATCAACATGTTATCGTAATTACTTTTTTACGAAACAAAGACGTCTTTGATTAACGACAATAATGGAATGTCTAGTTCACATGACGTTGGCATTGACGTCAATGACAGACTAGACTAATGAAAAACTGTACTTTACAGATTGAATTGTTTGTCAAATATAAAATTGGCATGTGTTTTCATGTCTTCGGTACAACTATTACATTCGCCCTGGTAGAACATACTGCAGAATACACGTTTCGCATTCACAGGTGTACCACTGGACAACATGTTTGACAACAGAACTTTGCAGTACAACTCAAATTCTTAAAAATTTTATATCGTACATATATCATTGTCACGTGATGGTTACGCGTCATGGTGACATAACTATGTGGTAAAATAACGTACATCGGTATACATCCTTCCGTACGAAACTAATTTGTACTGGCGCGATTTCAACCTATGAAATTATCGTTGTGAATACGCGTAGATTTGTTTGTGATTAATTTGTCGTGTATGCGGAGTTATCGATGCGTTAATCTCCGATACAATGCTGTTTTGTTCACAAAATATGAATTAATTTGACAGCCACCATTCTGAAAATTCATTCAAATTTACCAGGTCACTCAAATCCAAACTTGTTGGGCGCACTATAATATATAAAATATAATAACGTTTTGATTTCTCGGTGACCTGAAGAAGATCCTGTATGTAACGGTCTAGTTCATAGTTTTCGTGAAAATTCGAAATTCAAAGTTTCCCATGAATTTAGACGGTTCGTGCTCGATGCATGCAATGCTTCCGTTGCTGTCTGAAAAGGCACCAGTTTACTCTTCGGAGATATTTTTTTATTCTTCAAGGTTGATATCCGTCTTTTTGGGGAAGTCTGATTTTTCGAGTTCCTTGAGCTAAATGTCGTTACTCTATTCGTAACAATATATCAATAAACAACTTCAATTATTTTGTCTTATTCCCAAATCGCGTTTCTATGATTATTTAGTGGTTGGTCAGAACACTAAGCCCCAAATGGCGGGTACCATATTCTAGTTACCATACCATATTCTAGTTACATTACACAGTTAACAATGGATAACATGTCTTCGAATATGTGGAATCAAATCTCAATAAGTTTTGTATATAAAGCTAACGATGCATGAACCGGAACAATATTTGTAGCGATTACGTACTTTGAAAAAATCATTGAGAAATAACCTGCCACACCCCATCAGAATAACCATATTGTCATGCTCAAACGCCCGAACACGTGATTTTTCGCATTTGTTTAGTGAAGTGAAATTAGATTCAGGGTTCTGGTCGTAGAATCGGTAAGCATTATGTGCTAAAACAGCTGCAGATCACAATGCTCGATTATCACGTGCTTTGATTAGAAGTACGACTGTGAGAAGTCTCAGTGTCTCACCACATGAGAACATGGGAACTGTAATAAACTGTACGTCTAGCCTGTATGGAAGGGGTATCTGCTGATATTTAATGTATAAAAATAGAGGAGATGATCCCAGATTTTGCGTTAATGTAATGTATCAATGATGAAACACGGCTTTTATTTTACATATGTAAAGACAACACTTGCACTATTTATCACTAATTATTGTGCTTTTGTGCAACTCAATGATGTAATGTTAAATGTAATACTGGACGAAGAACAACACGTTTAAAATTTCCTTGTTCTACTGACAATAGAATGTGATGATTATCATCCGGGACTTTCAGACGTAGTGCTCGACTCAAGAATTTATTCGTCCATGCAATATGTGAAAGAAGTACAAAACATGATCTTTCGGATACAATCCTTGAATATTGACCATTATTTATTATTTTGTGTAGTCTCTGTCCTAAAAATTTGTCTTACTTTGAATATATGTTTTCTTTACTCTCCTTGACAACCATCTTTGTCTAAATATGTTCATATTTAGAACATATTTGTTGCTTTTAACAAAGCATCCGTCTATAGATTTGACAAGTTATTGTTCAGGTTTGTACTGTTATCTATAGGTACGTGCGTAAGTATCCCACCCAAGCAAGGTGCGGATATAGAGGCTATTCTCATGTAATATTTTATTACTAGCATATTCTATTTCTAATACACCATCTGACTAATATCACACTTTTCACCTAGCACTCTGTGGTCAAACAATCACGCACAATTCATTGAAACGTCTGTAACACACTTTCAGATTGTCCCAATCAAATGTCTATAGTTAGTTAGCTGCGTTTGTTCATTAAAAGATGTAGCAGACAAATAAATGCAGGTCCATTAACCCCCTACTGTCGATAACATTGAACGACCTTTCAATAACATCTTATATGGAACAAACTATGCAAGAATGTTCTAAACACAATGTGTTCCATATAAGTCGATGAACAACGAAACCATTTTGAACAATTTTGTGTATATTATCATATATTTCAATACCAACATTACTGCGACTTAAAATCCGCTTAGGGTTTTACTCCGTCTAAATTAAAATCTCTCAACGTATACATGTGTGCTGGCAATTATATTTTAAATTAGTTGAAGTCGATTGAACGCATCGCCTGTCAGCATGATTAATGTGTACAATATCGTGAGGAGGCTAGTTTGATATTTCTAGTAAAACGTTAAACTGCGCTGGTTTACGCCTTTCTCTGCTAAACGTATATTTAAAAAAAAAATTATATATGCCAATGAATTTATTAAAATATATTATCATATATTCCCAATGATTACATTTCATTAAAAGGGATATAATATTTCATTCTGTTTTAGAGAAATGCTCTGAACATGAATTATAAGTTATGTATGACACATTGTTTCAATGTGCTGCGGGACAAATGCAGAATATTTGGATCAATTTAGACTGGTATTAAGTTTCCGTTGAGTAATTTATTTAAGATATTGTAAAACTGTTTTGAAATAAAATAAACTTTCAACACGTCGAGTCTGGATATACGCATGTGAATGTATGTATGAATGTGGATACAAGGTTATAGACTAAAGTTGTATATATAGTGCACTAATTTGCAGTCTTCATTCAACTACCTCTGCAAACTTGTGAAGCGTGGAACATGTAGTAATGTTGAATCAAGATATAAGATTTATCATGTAAACGCATTTATTTCCCTCCCATGGCTGTGAGCGATGACATTCATAATAACATTCATTGGGATTTTGATGTACGGTTATAAGAATAGCTGACCGATTACTGCGACTATAACGACTGATAGTTTTGCAGCATCATGCAAAATCTCTTATGTGACATTCATGGGTTTATGAAATGTTCCTACATTTTAAAAGTTGATATACATGTCATGCGTGAAGAAAATCTATATCTTGATATATATATATAATAATATATATATCTTGAAAGTACAAATAGTTCCCGTTAATAAATGATGCACACTATTCCCTCTTTTGAGGCAATTTGAACTGGCGCAGTATTATGAAGACATGCATGTATAGCGAACTAACCGTGTCCCAAAACAATTGAAATGCTGATGAAGGGCTTTTTGGTTCTGAAAAAAAAAAACTCGTGCGTTTTTGAAACGCCACACGACTCCGAGTTTCACATTAATGAATTCCTTTTGGTTCCATTCGTATGTACCCGACATCAAAAGTGTACTAAAATGAATAACATTGAATTTCTTTAGTCAAAAATGTACCTATCCCTGGGCAATTGGCCAGGGTACGAATGTGTCTCATTTCCCAATATGACTACTTAATTGCATCTTTTTCAAAAGTTCTCCATCAAATAGACACCCAACAGAGTGTCACACAATTAAATTCGGGTATCGTTTCATGTCTTTTTTGGAGAGGTTTTGATAATAAATTATATCATACGACACGCGAATTGCCACAGGGAAAATAATTTCAACGTCAATTGTAGTTTGAAAACAAACGTCAGTATTTTCTATGGACAATTTTATCTATTAGAAAATTTAATTCAATCTACTGTATGAACGTATTGTTGTAGATGAGGTGAATCGTATAGAAATGTTACATTGAGACGTCAGCATGTATTTACCAAAGCATCGACATTCTTGCACACCACAGGTTTTCCTCCCATTATTCCTGCGTTTGTGCATACTGTGACATGCAGCTATATAACAGCACGGTTAACACAAAGCCCGTAGTGCTGTGTTCCGTAACATCAGTACCACTTTTTATAAACTTGGAAGTTAGACATGGAGAAAATACTAGTTTCTGTGCTGATGTTGATTTGTTTGTCCACAGTGACAACACACCCGACCTTAGTGAAAGACATCAACATGAATGTTGAAAAAAGGGGTGAGTTCTTCGCGTTTTTTTTTGCGAGCACAGTCCGTCTTCAGGGCTGACATCCCACGCTTAACTTTCCGAACGTCATATTCATTCCCTACTTACAACTTTTACACTGTTATGTAATTTTCTATAATATCTCTGAAATCAAAATTATTGAAAAAATATGCCAAAAATTATGCAAGTAGAATTTGAGGATGGCAACAAAGAATAAAAATTAATGTAAGTTAGAGGGTCAAAAAAATGTCACAATATTTGTTGCTGATTTCATCCCCTAGACAATAACAGCGTTGGTTTTGATGGTCCGCCACCTGATGTACCAGACGAAGATGATCTTGGTGAGTCTGAGTATAATGTCCGTTTTATCGCTAAAATTTATTATTACAGTAACAGTGATCGTGTTTTATTTCACTGATTTACCTAGCTGATAGAACACCCGTTGGTCTTGATGGTCCCCCTCCTGATGTACCTGACGAAGAGGACGAATCTGAGATTAAGACAAGATATATCCGTAACATTGAGAAAAGAGACTTAAAGGGAACAATTTATAGTAAGTCAGTCTTTGTTTTGTTATAAGATTCAAAGGAAAATATATATTATGTAATTTGGTTAAACATTAAAAGATGGTTTACAATCTGGATTGTTATTTATGTTTATAATAGTATACATTCGCTGAATTTAGCATCGCGATGATGATTCCGTACGTACTTTCAATTAGTATTGCGCACTAGTAATTCAAAGCGCATGTTCATTACAGGAAACGTAACAAGTTTGATACTTTTGTTTGTTTGATATTTTTTTTTAATTCCCTGTGATAAGACAGGTGACATTTAGCTGTCAGTTCACTAAATTCCCACCTCAACAGATTTATTGTTGTTTGAAATCTCAGATATCAGGAATCATGATGTCACGTAACTATTCTTACTTTCAGGTGACGGATGTTTTTACCCGGGGGAATTGCGTTACGGGAAACAGACAAGTGGACCAACCGTTGCACCAATGGCACCTGGAACCGTTTTGCAGTACGAGTGCGACACCGGCTACACAATGCGCGGGGAGGCGTCCATTGAGTGTAAATACCATTCTAAATTAGGACACTATTGGAGTTTCTACATGCCAATTTGTACAAGTAAGTTGAAGCCCAATTACGTGTGTTGGCCAACTTCTAAACACGAAATACTGTAAACAATGGCAGGTAACCAATTTTATTGAATCGGGCAACAACCTCGTGCATGTCACGTAATAATTATACCTTTAACAATAATTCCGATCTGTCACAGAACGCTATAACAAAACCAGCACGACAGATCACTCACCATCAGTCCTCGCTAGCTACCCCGCCATCTTAGCCACCGCCTGAGTGTTTTCCTCCTGCCACAGAGGGCGCACCTCGTAAAACCACTTATGCAAATTAATGTAAGAATAAATAATAAGAATTCATGACACGATCATATTACGGATGTGACGTCAGATCATAACGACTAATTCATTCATTATTCACAGAGGAATATGACTACGACCAGGTACTACGTCTGTCAAATAAGTTCTACGAAGCTCAACGTTCTGGTAAATTACCGAGTGATAACCGGATAGATTGGAGAGGTGACTCAGCCTTGGACGACGGGGCTATGGCTGGTAAAGATTTGTCAGGAGGATGGTACGACGGTAAGATATACTAAATATATTAGTATATGTTTTACATATAGTAACACTATTCTGGTGTATGTAAATGAAAATGTCAGTGGCGTTATTGTAACCTACATCAACATACACTTATTAGATATTGTATGTTTCTCGTGGGCGTAGTATCATCGAAACATTCTGTCGCAATTGTTTGTTTCATAATTAGGCGTAAGCCATCTTAAGTACCAAATTGTAAGCGTTTGGTTTTGAAGAACATTCCTCTAAAGTTTTCAACAATTTGAATAAGTGTAAATATCACTCACACATAATACTAATATGTCTGTTTTGTTTTTATCTTAGCCGGTGATCACGTGAAATTTAACCTTCCAATGGCATCTGCAACTACACTATTGGGTTGGGGATTCATCGAGTTTTACGATGCGTACGAGGCCGCGGGCGAGGTCGGACATTTAATGGCCAATATTCGGTGGTCCTGCGAGTATTTTATAAAAACCTTAGATGACGACCCAGATATAACGAAGATCAGAGTGTACTACCAGGTATGATTCATTTCCTATCAAGGAGATTGACAGCTTGTTGTACAGACAGCACGAGTCATAGTTACCAACACATAATCGCCACAGAAACACTATTATCTATAATTACATTGTATATTATGGGATTGCAGCCATGTCGTTACAATTTATCTCACAAACACCACTGTAAAACTATTAACATGAGAAATACTGAAAAATACGATTTATTTCATATATGTTACACACGTAGGGCTAATCTTGTTACACTGTTCAGGGGACTCTCATCAACCATCGCAAAGTACCGTTTTCTGCGAGTTTTTGGTCTTTGTTTTCACCGCGAGGGTTGCCAGGCGGTAGAAAATGCCCGGATGTCCGCCCCCGAGGATACATTCTAGAATATTCTGACATAAATTCCACCCTATAAAGTTGCATTAACCAATCACATGGTAAGAACTCATCGACACCATTAATAGTACATGATGTCATCTGTTATAATTAGCTATCAATGGAGGTGTCTTTCCGCAGTTCATTTGTTAAGATTACAGTTATAATAACTAAAGTTATATTTATATTTAAATAAATAAACCTTTAATATGCCACCAACACCCACTAGACCAACACCCATTTATTTCAGTGAGATAAATGAATAAGTAAATGACTAATATTACATTTTCCAGGTAGGAGATCCGTTAAAGGACCATAGCTACTGGGGGAAAGCCGAAAACATGGCGGGAGACAATCGCGACGTGTACACCTGTACGTGTGGCAGCCACTGTTCCGAAATAGCCGCAGAATCCTCAGCCGCCTTGAGCGTGTGTTCTATAGCGTTTAACATGTCCACACCATACAGAGGTAAAACTTCAATAGTTTCATCCATATTCGCAGATGCTTCTAACTGTTATTCAAAATTGCCGTTGTATGGGGGTGTAAGACACTGGGGCAATATAAATGTACTATATTCATAGACACATGGTTCGGCAACATATTCTTGTGGAACTAAAATAAATTCAGGTAAATGATGACAATTGTCTAGATACGTATAGACGTATTGGATGTTGATGATAGTATTAGAAGCAATAGAACATGTGTTGAAATGAGACGTGTAACAAAAAACTGTAACACTAGTTTTTGCACTAACATTGAATGCGCTTCCAGGAAAATGATATCATATCACAGTATATGCTCAACAAATGTATGTTAATTTTACAGACGTGGCATTCGCTAAAACAGCCTTGGAGACCTCTAAACGCCTTTTCGAATTCTCTAAACACGGCGAGTGTAGAGGTTTTTACAGAAAAGATGGATTCTATAAGTATGTATGGCCATTGATTTTACCTCCTCGAAGCATAATATAACATGACATGCCATAAACAAATAAAATAATAAATTAGTTAGCATACCACATTAGCCAGAGGTTTATGTTCATGGGCACTCGGAGCCCCGAAACGAACAAAATAGACCATGGTCTACTGTTTTTCCAATGTTATGTTCAATATGTGTGGTACAAACAAAATATATGTAGCAGAGCAAAGTTTTCGATGTAAATACCATTACACAAGCAAACAACACATACACAGATTATTCTTATGTTAGAACAATTTATTTTTAGCTATTTGCATAAATTTGGGTTCTCAGTGACATCATTTGTAGCACGCAATCACGACACTCACAAATTAATGGTACATTTTCTTAGGTCACGGAGCTATTGGGATGAAATCGTCGAAGCTTCCTTGTTCTTGTATTATGCTACGAGACACGGCGAATACTTGTCTGAAGCCAGTTTGGGCTACAGTAACACAGAAGATGTTGTTGAGCATCTTGTTTCAAACGACAATTCCGATGTGTCAATGCCAGAGATGAACTCCGCCGATTTCATAACTGTCGCGAAGAGCGAGTTCTTCCTCAACACTGGCGCTGTTCAGGCCGTGGCGGCCTGCTTGAGTTGGGGTGATAAACGCCCAGTTGTTCACGTAAGTATGATCATTATTACCAAACGCTTCAGCGTGGTATTAAGAGTTTGTTTTCAGGGGTGGGTGATACCAAGGTGGGAAATGGATGCACATATGGGGTTAATTCCTTGAATTGCAATATAGAGGGTTCAGGCTGAAATACAATATATAGTGTTTTCATGTTTCGTCTGATATTTCTGTGGTATTCTGCTGCTGTAAGTAATGCACGATTTGTTCCGAAATTCAGTATATTGTGTGTATTCCAGGGTTATTCGTTTTTTGCTGAAAACACCCCTATTTTTTAGTGGCAGAGTTTGAATAGTCTCACTCCCACTGGGAAATCTGCATTGTTGCTTGAATGTGAGTTAATTAAACACATTTTCCAGACCGGCGAAAGAGTATGCAACAGCCAATTTTAACAGCCTGTCACGTGATTTTAGTCTGAATGTCAACATGAAGAGGCTAGTCCATTTTACGCAGGAGTAATTGGGAGTCGAATATGTGAGGAATAGTATCAACAGAGATGTGTATAGTGAAAAGTAATATCTATCCTTCATTTACATCTCTGAGCATTTCTGTTTTAGTATATTGGTTTGAAAATGTTGAACTTGCATGATTTGCAATGTGTTTTTTTAATGGGACTCCCCTATTGATCGAATCCCGGGTTTGAACGAGAACGGCACACCACGTGATTCGTTTGAATACAATGCTGAT